ACTTCTGTCAACTCTTCTTGGTTTGTCCATTGTCTTCTTTATATCTTGACGTCTCATCTGTACTGCTCCTGCTTCTACCCCTATGCCTGTTGGTGTTGAGCGGGGACTAGATTTTATTCACAGTGCTTCCGCTGCTTCTGGATCATGGTGTCTTCCTCTCTCTGCTTCTAGATTATGACTTCTGGATCTGTTCCTGGATCGAGACATTTCCACTCCCCGCTAATACTGTGATGATGCCTTTAGTGAGACTTAGGTCTTGAGTGACTTCTGCCTCTTGAGGACTTACTTTCTTGCATTTGTGTCTGTCCTCACCATTTTCAGATGAATTTAATTTCTCTTTACTTTATGAGAAGAATGTTCTTTGTCAATATGTTCCTCAAATTTGTATTTCTTAGAGGATTTATTTTTAGATTCATGTCTTATTATTCTGCTATCTGCGTCTGTAGCTTCTTCAGTTTCTTCATGCATTAGCATACTCTTTGCTTCTGCTCTGGCTCCTGCATTTTATTCCTACATTATCTGACTTTCATGTTCTTTTGATCTTGATCATGATCTTTTTTTTTTTTTAAGATTTTATTTATTTGAGAGAGAGAGAATGAGAGATAGAAAGCACGAGAGGGAAGAGGGTCAGAGGGAGAAGCAGACTCCCCACTGAGCAGGGAGCCCGATGTGGGACTCGATCCTGGGACTCCAGGATCATGACCTGAGCCGAAGGCAGTCGCTTAACCAGCTGAGCCGCCCAGGCGCCCGATCTTGATCGTGATCTTGAATGATGATATCTTGAGGCTCTAGAAGAAACAGATACATCTGACTGCTCTTTTTTGATCTTTATTTTGGGATATCTTCTCTGGAGCTATTACATCTCATTCTGTATTACTGGTCTATTTGAGAACCCAATTGTTATGGAGTAAATTGGGTCCCCTCAAATTTATATGTTGAGGCCCTAACCCCCAGTGTGACTGTATTTAGAGATGGGTGCTTTTAAGGATGTTACTATGGTTAAATGAGGTCATAAGCTTGGGGCTCTGATCCCATACAACTCATGTTGTTATAAGACAGGAAGGGATACTAAAGATTTCTCTCCATGCGCACAAACCAAAGAAAGTCCCATCAAAGACACAGTGAGAAGGTGGCTGTCTCTGAGCTAGGAGGAGAGCCCTCATCAGGAACCAATCCTACCAGACCTTGATCTGGGATCACTAGCCTCCAACACAGAAAATAAATTTCTGTTGTTTAAGCCACACAGCCTGTGGTATTTTGTTATGGCAGCCCAAGACGATTACTACACTAATCTTAATTTCATTAACCCTCTTTAATAAAAACAGCCCTTGGCACAGTGCTGCTGAGAAATACGGTCTCCCTTTCCTCACATATGCTCTGGGCATCTTACTCCAGAGTCCTGGTTGCTGGGGCAGCGCTTTTAACAATACCAGCCACCCAGAAGCTTCCCACAGACTGACTAAGAGACCTGAGTGGCACAAAGGGGATCTGCCGTTGCTTTTTTAGTTTGTTTTTTGCACTTAGCTCCATAATACCTCTAAGGTATTTTATGTCTGTATTGGGATAGGCAACTATAATTTTTCCCCTGAAGGATAGCCATTTGTCCCAGCACTGTCAACTAGTACAGCTTTTCCCCACCAATTCAAAATACCACCTTTGTCAAAAATTGTATTTTCTTTGCGTGAGAGGCCCCATGTACGATGCAGTGCCCCCAGACCTCGTAGGACAGGGACGAGGAGGGGCACGTGCTGTGGAGGGAGAGGAAGAGGGTTTGGTGGTGCTGACCACTGGAGGCTATGTGAACGTGGCGCTGGGCATGGAGGCAGCCTGGTGACAGTAGGCTCCAGTGACTCTTTCACAGACTGTTATGGCTTTCGTGGTTTTGGTCTTCCTAGATTACGTCTAAAAATATTATACACAAAATCAACTTTTTAATTTTCTCAAGCTTCAAAACCCAGAGTGCCCATGATGTGTCCCCGTGCTTCACTGGAGTGGCTTTTCAGCATAGTTTGTCCGAAATTCCTGGACTACGGAATTCAAGATGATGGTAGATTTTATCAGGATTTGCTTTTGAATTTGGTCTGTTGAGGTTCACAATAAGTGGAAATAATTTCAGAGAATTCATTTTTGTTCAGAATTGCATAGAATTCTAGAGCCAGCATTGTTCAGCATTAAGGCAAAAGCCCACCTTTGCTTTTTATGGAAGGTATTGCTTTAAGAGATCAATATGATGCATTTTAATCTACCTCTGTCTTAATTTATGGCAGGTTTCGTATGAATTTTAACCTCTTAACAAATTTTCAAAACGATTATGCCTTTGACAACAATTAAAATGACTTACCACATCTGGGAGGGGGAGAGGACTGTATTTTCTTATACACATGTATATGTTTCAGTATTTTATTTATTTATTTGTTAAAGATTTTACTTATTAGAGAGAGAGAGAGAGGGAGAGAGAGCGTGAGCGGGGGGAGGGGCAGGGGCAGAGGGAGAAGCAGGCTCCCCGCTGGGCAGGGATGACCCCAGGACCCCGGGACCATGACCCAGACTGAAGACAGACGCTTAACTGACTGAGCCCCCCAGGCGCCCTGTCTCAGTATTTTATATCCTGTCTCACTGATCCACACTTTTATTTCTTAGTATTTTACTATTTTAATGACCAAGGCTTTGCAGTGAATTTTGATGCCTAGTCATTCCTTACTATGATTGTTTTTCTAAACGTTCTTGGCAGAGTATTTTCACGGTTTATTTTCTGTTAAGAACTTTGACTTTGTTAGTTTTTTGTTTTTTTTTTTTTAAGTCCCGTTGGGAACTTCCACACTTCCAAGTTCATTTTTTTTCCTTTAAAACTAGAGGCCACACACACTCGCGCACTCATGCACTCACGCACGCACACAGAACAGGAGAGGAAACAATAGCAAGGAACTTTTCGAAAGGAGGAAAGAATATGGTAATTGACTTGGCAAGGCCAAGGGAGCCACGTCCCGGGCCAGCAGTAGAGAAGGCTGACAGCCACGCTGCTTCACTGCACGTAAGCCTCACGAGGCTCAGAGCTGGCAGCACGGCCCCTGGGTGTGGTGTGGAGTTGGGCAAGGAAAGCTGCCTGAGCACCAGTTAGATCCCTAAGTCCTTTCCCCAGGCCCGGGTCCCTGGTTTGGGGGACACCGGACACGGTTGATGGTGCACAGTGAGGGGATCAGTGAACGTGTGCCTTGTGAATGTTGCATGCTGACTTCCTAGCCCTTTGCCAACACTCTGCTCCCAAATTTCGGGGAGCTAGTCTTTTCATTTTCAGGCTGGGGATTGTAAAATTTCTCTGGGAAATTTGAGCAATCTGAGGGGAAGGAATAAAAAAGCCTAAAGGGATGAAGGGGAGGATCCCCAGCAAATAGCTAGGGTTGCAGAGCTTCCAGTCAGCCTTTGATTCGTATGACTGAAAAAACAAGGCTAACCAGTAATCTGAGGAAAGCCTCTAACATGGAAGGTGAAGACTAAAATGAACAAACCGGAAAGAGCAATGTAGAGGAAACGGGGAGCGTGAAAGAAAGGACAACAGTAAAACAAACCCCTGTCTTTAAGCCACAGGGAAGTAAAACAAAAAAAAACCAGTCTGCTAAATAAAAAAGAAAGATGAAACAAAATGTTCTCTTAGAAATTAAAGGCCTGAGAGAAAACTGGAAGGGGAAGAATAAGAAAATGAGGAGGTCTGGTACCTCAGCAGAAGCCGCTCCGGAAAGACAGACTAGGGACAGGGCAAGGGGGGCATTCTCAACTAAATCATTTGGCAAAATTTTCCCAAACCGAAGGACTTGAGTTGCTAGATTGTAAGGGCTCACCCAGTGCTCAGGGATTGAAAAGAAGCCCCTATTCAAGTATGTTATCCTTAGAGAAAAAAATTCAGCCACTGATAAAAATGTAAAGAGTTATGTATCCGTAACTCTTCCATATGAAATTATGATATTTTCTTGGCATATATATGTATATACGTATATATATATATGCATTTCTGTTGGGTATGTGCCTACGAGTAGAATTGCTGAAACAGTAAAATAACAATAAATAATAAATAAATAATATAAATAATGTCAAAGAGTTTTCCAAAGTAGCTAGAAATATGATTTCCATTTCTATTAGTTTAGAGCCAGTCAGAAGCTGAAAACAACTCAAATGTCCCATCTGTAGGAGAATGCATAAATATCTCTATGAAATACTATCCGGTAGTGAATATGAACAAGCTTTTATGACATGCAGCAGCGTGGAGGAATTCACCAGCACTGTTAAATGAAAGAAGTCAGACAAAAGGAATACGTGTTGTATGATGCCACCTATGTAAATTCACAGGCAGAACTAAACTGTGATGATAGAACTCAGGATGGTGGCTACCTTTGGAGAGGGTGTTTTGGCTGAAGGGGCATGAAGGAGCTAGGAGCATTCCATTGCAGTATTTGGATGGTGGTTGATCATGTGATGTGTTCATTCTGAAAATTCATTAAGCTGTACTCATCATTTGTATGCTTTTCTGTTTAAATGTTATATGAAGTTAAAAACTTAAAATTGTGAGTATGTTAAGTGATTCATGGAAAGGTGTTTTGAAGTTAATGTTAACTGGAATTAGCAGGACAAAACTATGATGACACCATAATAGTAAAAATTTTTTGTACGTGTATACATGGAGGCTTGTGGAAAGGACTGCAAGTAGTTGGTATTTCAATTTGTTATTCTTCTATGTAAATTAGCACCTTGTAAAGGGGGGAAGAAAATCCCATGTGTCTGCTGCTGGTTGTATTGCTATACTAAACACAAGATTGTCCTGTCCTAGACTGTGCCCTCTAAATTGGGACAGGTAGGGTGACTGCCTGAAGCTGGTAGTTTTTTGGTTTGTTTTGAGATTTATCATAAGGTAAGTAGTATCGTGACTGCCCCTCTTTACTTTCAAATGTGACATTTATGAAGATGTGAATATGTTCCTATTTCTTGATCTGTTTTTCCTTGTTTCCTAGGTTTTTGTGGAGACCCTGGATAAGTGTTTTGAAAATGTTTGTGAATTGGATTTGATCTTCCATATGGATAAGGTACCTTCTCTCCCTAACCAGGGTTACTAGAAAACTAAAAGCCTAGGATATTTCTATCCACCTCTACACCTTTATGTTCTTTCTTGTGGCTTTTTACTCTGGGGGTAGTCCCAGACTTGTTTCATTTAATAACTTAAGTTTAATAGTTTTGGGAGTGTTTTGCTAAGATCTGTTACCAGTTTTAACACAACGTGAGATTACTGGACCTATGTCATAGTTCATCTCTTTACAGGCAGACTTCTCGGTAGAGAGCAGTGATGTCGCTATAATGATTGGCTGCCACACCAATGGCAAGAGAAATTGTTTGATGTTGATTGTAAAATGAGTTCGCTTGGCATAATCCAGTGACAGTGAAGCTTTGGAAGGATCATGACACAGGGTCTTTGACCTAGCTAGTTACTCCCAAAGAGTAACACAGTGACTCAGACATTTATAACAGAGTTTGAGGTCAGGTGATAATTCTGTAGGGAAGCAGACCGTCAGGCAGAATTGAATGGTACAAAGTACATGTTCTCAGATTTGTGCTGCTAGCATCACTTTGACGTGACCTATGTCCCCATGTGCCAAGTTAAAGGTGGGAGGTAGCCAACAAGGGGATAGGAACTGTCGCATGTATTTTATCCAACTGGGCTCATGCTGTATCCAGTGCTGTTCACCTTAGGTGTGCTTGCTCCCGGTTTTCTTCAGCTGATTGTTGTCACCATGCTCCATGGCCCTTAGAGAGAGCGAATGATTTTTTAGGAGATAACGACTCATTGCTAAGCCATGATCCTTTATTACTCTATTTTCATCCCAACGAGGTAGTTGTTTTTAGATCCATCATTGCTAGCATTGCCATCTAGAGGACTTTCTTGCCATTTTCCAATAGGATCTTCAGTCTCTGTTAACTCTCCTGAGATTCTCAGATGACACTCTCTGGGCGAATGCAGTGAGTGCGTTCTTAAGGTTGGATGTTGGAATGAGTGAAGTTTTCTCTCTCAACACCTAGCTTGGCATTAAGACTCCCTGAGCATCCTGGTACAAGAGAATCACAGAAGCCCATTTTTGCCAGAGATACTTGCCTTGGGGCTCCCTGATAGGCTCAAGGGATCCAGAGCTCATTGGTGCTTTTGAAGTGGTCACTCTCCCTTTTCATATGAAAGAATCTTAGAAGCTTCAGAGACCTCTTTGCCTCCTCTTTGCAAGCATTTAGAATTGCTTTAAGCATGTCAGTTGTTCAAGGCGTTATCTTGTAGTTTCCTTTAAGGAGAGCCATAGGTCAAACCCAGTGTCCGTCCCTGCTAGTGGTGGTGGCTTTAAAAGGAAGTAAAAAGCCATCAAAATGTTGTTCTTTCTCCTGTGTCTTATCTTTAAATAGGTTCCATAAAGTAGTTTGCTGCTGCTGCAGATTCCTTTTATACTTTATAAAACTGTCTATTTTTAGTTGCTAATGTGACATCAGGAAATTACCATCCATATTTCCTGACATCTTTGGAAAGTGATGATGCAAGGAGCCAGGACCTCACCCTGCTCACCTTTACACTGTCTGAAGGTGTCTTTCAGCAGGTGACTTTTTTTAATTCCATCTCAGGCTTGTCTTTGCCCTCACGTAGAGCAGTTGCTAATTCAGGCATATCTTCTACTGATAGGTAGGCAAAGGACCTGTCAGAAGACAATAGGAATGTCACCTTGAACGCCATCCTTCTGGATTGAAGAAACCTCTCTACCCTAAGTCTCTTCACCTCCTCTCTCTCCCTTTCTTTCTGGCTTAAAGGAGAGTGTGTTACGCCCCATGTGTGGAGCCAGAGCCTCTTCCCGTCTCTCCCCGCCGTACACCACAGTGTCTCTGAGCTGTCTGTATCTGTTCCTGCTGCTGTGGCTGCAGTCTCTCACAGAACCCAGCTCTTCCCTTGCTTCTCTCGTTCTGTTAGCTGGCATCTCATCTCCACTCTTGCATTTAAGGTGAACATCTTGAATGCATGAGTGATTTGCATCCAGTCTTGCATTTCTGCTTCATCTGTTCCCTTTTTGGAGCCCTGTCTCCTGGTTTTCACTCTCACCCAAAAGGCACTGATACTTTCCCAATCCTGTTTGCCAGTATCACCTTCTGGAGGGTTTCTGCCGCATTCGATGATACTGATCCTGCCGAGAAGTACTGCCTTCTTAGTCCTTTCTCCACCTTTGCTTCTGCTACGTAGAACCTTCCTGGCTCTTCTCTTATTCTCTTCCCACCTCTGTCACTAACTTATGTTGTCAGTCATCTCTTACCTCGCTCTTCTCACGCTCCTGTTTCTAGCCTAGATCTCATCCTGTTCTCCTACTTAAATTATCCGTCTGGGTAATTCCCAAACTTGGCGTTTCTAGTCCAGTATGGCCTGGGTCCCATCCCTGTATTTCCCACTGCTGCATGACATTTCTTCCTCCTGTCATTCCAGCATCTTACTTCTTCCTGCCACTTCTTACCCAGAGCCGGATTCGGCATGTGTCTCCTGAAAACCATTTCCTCCTCCAGCCTCTCTTTTCCATTGGTGCTGCCACCATCCTCTGGCAAGTACATTCAAAACATCAAAACTTTGCCCCCCCCTTCTTTGCCACCAATAGCCAGTCGGTCACTAAAACCTGTTGCTTCTCTCCATAGACCTCTTATATCTGTTCTTACATTCTCCAGTTATTAACATTTGGTACACTTGCTTTTACGTCTCTCTATTTACATATATAGTTTTCTTCTCGACCCATCCAAGTTAGTTGTAGACGTCATGACCTTTCATCCCTAAATACTTCAGTAGACATCTCCAAGAACAAGGACATTGTTTTATATAATATGTTGTGCATAATTCTGTAATTAACATAGTAATTTAACCACAGCATAATTAGCATATTTGAAATCTAACACTAAAAAATACTGTTATTCAATATATAGTTCATATTTAAATTTCCTCCCTTGCCCCAGTAACGTCCTTTGTATTTTTAATGCTGATTCCACTATGGGTCAAGCACTGTCTTTACTTATGGTGCCTCTCGATTTCAGTTGTGTCTGTCAGGTTTTCTAACCTTACTTCTTTTCCTTCTTGTTGATCCTGCACATGGGAATTATATATATATATATATTTTTTTTTTTTTTTTTTTTTTTTTTTTTCCCCTAAAGCACCCATTAGACTAGCTGCTCCTTTGAGCACAGACCAGTTTTGGTCCCTGTTATCAAGCCTTGACCCCCTGGCCAGGTCTCCAAGGCTGTCTACAGTTGTCCCTATTCTATCTTGCCCTTGCTTACCGTTACTGCTTACCAGATACCTCTGCTGCAGCCAGACTGGACCAGTCTTCCTCATGTTGTAATTCCTGCTTAGAGCCTCTGCCTGAATTGCCTTTCACATCTTTCTGTAACTGAATCCAGCCTGTCATTCAGGCTCAGCTCGAATCCTACCACCCTAAAGCTTGTCCTCATCACCCTGGCCTGTGATGAACTCCGTGGACCATATATAGTGCTATTTCTGGCCAAATGTACCTAAGTTTATATAGGTTTGTATGTTTTCCTGACTTGATTAGACCATCCTTATCTTTGTGTTTGCCCTGTCTCCTTCACTGAACCCAGCATGGTACCTGAGTGAGGTAGTCTTCACCTGAGTGTTCCAAAGATGCCCAGGTCACTAGACTCATCGGGTTGTTCATGCTTTAAGCTGCTGCGGGCTGGGTAAAGTCTGATTTCAGAGTCTCTGGGGTAGTCTTCAGTCCATACTGTGCCATTTGGAGCTTACCTTGCCTGGGGCATCTGGTTCCCTTTTGCTTTGGGAAATCCCCAAATAGCTCTCAATGTCATGACTAAGTTGGGTATTGATGTTAATTAATTATGATGAATTGAGTTTTGTTCAAAGAAAACCATGTGGGTAGCATAACATTTTGATCTACCAGTGGCTTATCAGCAAAGCTGGATTTGGCACTCAGTTGGGCTTTCAGGATTTGGTCATCAGAGTCACAGTTCAGTGGCTGTGTCAAGGGAATTTATCCAGCCTTTTTTATGGACTCTAGTATGCAATAGGCTATCTCAGGAGAGCTGAAACATATGCTTTTGGGTGGGTCTGAGGCCAAGAAACCTCACAGTATGGAATTTAAAAATCTCTTGCTAAGTATAGACTGCTGAAATGGGAAAATGCTGAGGGTTCAAAATTGTAATGAACTGGTGAGCCCAATATGAGAGGATCATAAACGTAATAAAGGACGGTGCTTATTTAAAACGTCCCTTATGGGAATAGAGTTTGTGATAACAGAGCTCATTAAGGCCCTCCACACCCTAGTGGCATTGAAGCAGGTATTCTGATTGCTAGTCTCCAAGATTAGAAGAAAGAGTGAGGGGCACATACTTTGTATGTTTTCAGTGATGAAGAAGTTGCTGTTTTGGCATAGAAGAATAAGACATTCTGTCTGAGTTTTAGTGCTCGGGAAAGTGTTAGTTGGTGTGCTGACCATCCCTGGCTCTCTGTGTCTTTCTGGCTATGCCTCGGAGAGGGGAGGGGAACCTAGGCCAGCCTTTGGCCCCATTGTATCCTGAGCTCTTCTCTACTGATGCTTGATGGATAAGAATTTTGTGGCAGAATATTTTTCAGAGGCCAATATCTTATCCTTTCAGAACAACTAACAGAGACTAGCAATGATGATTCCTTAAATTGCTAACATCACTATACTTTGTTTAAAGAGAAAGAAAAGCTGAGACTGCCCCACACCACTCTTAATGTCTGCTACACTATTTCACTTTCCTTGCTTGAACTTTGCACTGACTCATTGTCTGCCACTTGAAATTGCAGAGAGCCTGTTTACTTTGTTTAATCATTCCTTATTAATGGTTCAGGGCATTAGGATGATAGTGTACACAAGACAGCAAAATCTGACCTTTAGAGCTCTCTGTTTGTTAACCTCCCTTTTCAATAAAAACCCAATGTTTGTCAAGATTTTAAGTCAATACTAAAACTTACTACTAATGATATTACTTGAATATGTTGCAGATAAAACGCATTATATATTACTTTGTT